AAAAATTGGTATCTTTCCATCTTTGTGGGAATAAAGAGGAGAATTACAGATGAAATAATGAGCAAAATCACTTTCTTGCAAGTTGTGACACGATGGAAAAGAGAAAAAGAATTCACATATCCGTCTCCAAACTTTGTTGTGAATAAGTCTTAGTTCTAATCGTATTCTTTTTTATTTATAGGAGCACATGCTACTGGTTTTGCTCAATGCTTCACTTTCAAGAGGAGACTCTTCAATTTCAAAGGTTCTGGAAAGCCAGATCCTATGCTTGATTCTTCATTTCTCTCGAACTTGCAGAGCACTAGTTCTCATGCTGATGCATCAAACAGAAAGATTACTCTTCTCAACTCGCAGAGCACATACAGGTTCGATAATATGTACTATAAAAACCTGCTGAAGGCATTCTTGAATCAGATCAAGCTTTATTTGGAGATCCAAAGGCTGTTGCAATGGTCAAGGACTATAGTATGGATCCATTTCTCTATTCAAAAGATTTCGCAACTCTAATGGTAAAGCTTGGAAATACTGGTGTGCTCACCGGACAATTTGGGGAGGGTCAATGTGGCTTTGTATTCTAGTTTGTAAGACATGCTTTTAATTTACCACCATAAAATAATTGTTGCATGTATGATACGGTATGTTAGACACTACTTGACAATATTAATAAAAAAGAAGAAGCTAAAATCTTATTCATTGTCTTATCTATGCATTAATTAGTTTGTATCAAACATGTCATCAGTGTGTTAATGATTAAGGGGACATGAACGGTCTTTACCAAGTGCTTTTGCATATGGTGGAATGTGGATGCATGAAAAATCTTATCATTTCGAATGATTGGATACTATTGAACTCGTTTTTTGTACCATTGCCATGGATGACAAATACCAGGCTCACTCGCGTCCACTCAAGATAATTCCACCACATTTGGACAGAGTGCTAGTCAATAATATTTCGAGTTTGTACGCGGAAGAAGCTTTATAAGGTGAGATTAAAATGTTCAGGCGCTGACAAGATATATGAGCAGAATCGCATGATACGGAACAATCAACAGTATGCAAATTAAAAGCCAAAATCAAACAAATAACTTTAGTAGCAAAAGGTTCAACTCAAGGGGACATGACATGTAGCTCAAAATAGACGTATTTGCATTACCCTCAAATGACACTGGAGGGTATTTTTAGTGTTATATGTGAAATGATGTCTATTGGATGAGAGGACACGTGACATCATCTCCTTAACTGAAGCATTTTATCATAAGTATTAATTTTGACCCAATTAGTCTGTGACACATTTAATGCTCTTAAAGAGATGTAGTCACCCTGCAACCTATGTTGACATATTACTCATTACAGTGGTCACATCAATCATTCGAACAAGATTTTATCCATTTGGGATCTTCAAAGGAGGTGTATCGTCACTTGTCATGGTAGAGTTTCGGATTTGGCCTCTTTGAGCATCACCACTTCGGCAGAAGGGCTTCAGTAGGTCAATAGAATTCCACTGCTTCGATGAAAGGGCTTCGGTTGGTCCATTGCACTCCACGTGGGATACCACATAGGTTTCACGTGGGAGCCTCGGTTGCGAGGCGCAACAAATACAAATGACTGCTAATATACATCATCTCATGTTTGTAGTTTGTAATATACACAAAGATAAAAGAGAACTTTTGTTCCTTGACTTTTCAAGAAAGTGACAAGTAACATCTTCTTCCAAGAGAGTTAACCTACCTGTAAAATAATGGTAACAATGTTTGATGTGGCAAAATTTGGACAATTGATTTAAAAATAGTTTTTGAAATTTTTTGAAGTTGATGAATGTGATAATGTCAAATCATGATTGCCGACTAACTTTGTTAATCATCATTGTACACGTAGCATGATTTCCAAGATAATAATGCGCATGATGAGTAATTATTTTTTAATTATAAATTTGTTAAGTAATTTAGGGTCCGTTTTGATAGGAATTTCATAGGAAAGATACCTTATACTAATTTTTTTAAAAGCTCTTCTATTAAGATAAAATACTTTCAGAAAATAATTCAAATATATTTATAAGAAACGTTTTAATCTCAAAAGCATTTCTTGATTTTTCAAAAGTCTTATCAAATAAGTCGCTCTGTAAAATAATGTTTTATTACTATCAAGTAGTTTGTTAAAAGTGCAACAGGTTCCTTTATTATTATATGAACAGTGTTAGTCAATTCTTCTTCTTGATATGCTAAATTCTGTTGTTTTACTTTTACTGGTGTTTTATACCATTATGGGCATAATTTGGATTCCCAGACTGTACAAATAGAACAGAAAATCCAAATGGTCTTCGTTCAACTCAAAATCTTCTTAGTACTAAATTAAGAATAAACCTTTTCTGGATGTGACAAACATAATAGTTCAAAAGAAAAGGGCCTTCATTCAACTCTAAATCCATTCGATATTAAACTACAAATAGTTCTTTCCTCGATTTGGAAGAATTTGGAACAACATATCACAAAGAATACAGTAGAAAGCACAAGGATTCAATGAAAAAGTGACAAAAACAAAATGAAAAGCTGGTAGGGATGCATTTGATTCTAACTTAACTTTTGTACTATCCATGAAAATCTCTGTTCTTGTCTCTCAAATAATTTCAACTGCGTGCATGTGAATAGTATATGCCATCTTTTAAGAATGGACCTGTCGTATTATAAATCAAATCATCACTATTCCCAATAGAAATATTCCCTTCTTGTACTGAGATTCTCTTTCCGCCTCAGTGCCTGACACCTTGCTTTTTTAATCTTTCATATATATTATATATATAGGGATTAAGCTTTTATATAAGAAATTATTTTATTAAAAAATATATATATTTAAAAATAATACTGAAAAAAATGATTTTAAATATTTTTTATCAAATGTGAACATAATATATTTTCAATCTTTCAGCTTATGCCTCTCTAGAGGCCATACCCACATTTTGAGGTGGTTCATAACGTCTAACATTAGTTAGGGTCGTTACAGTTATGCTGAGGCAAGCTAGGAATATGGATCTGTATAATTTTTGTATGTTTTCTACTTTTTTCGAATATAGTCCCACATGAGCACGTCCAGATAACTTAGAGGTCTCAATGATTAGACTTTACATGATTCTTACTATGGAGATGAATATCTTGACACATTTGAGCCTCTTGTTCACTAAAATATGTTGAATTAAAATTATCGCAAGTGTACGATTTGTTAACAAGTAGTTAAATGGATTTTGAGTTCAAGTATCGTTCCCAAGAAGATTGATTAGTTCTAATTCTAATTACCGTGACCTTAACTGAAACTATAAAAAGATGAGAATGTTTGTTTTGATAAATTTATAACTAATTTAATACTAAATATGCAAATATGAATTAATTAATTAACTAAATACAATTTATGTAAATTTGAGTTTTTCTAATATGTGATGAATGTAATAGAATCACGAATCCCTATGCAATAATCTTTTTAAACGCAGTTTCACACCTTTGACACACGGTTCGAATAAAGAAGAATCAATGTTTCTAAATTATCTAACAATCTCTCTCGACCAGAATTAAACATATTCAAATATGCGACCCCGCCTATATCTCTATGACAATGCAAACATAAAAGAATGCATTAGTTTTTATGAACATTTAAAGATTCACATAAGGCATAGCGGTACATTTCTATCCCCTATTGGACCTGTGATAATTTATATATGTCGAACATATTCCCCTTCTTTCGAATGCATGAAATAAGCCACGAAACTCATACAATCATTACACATATAATTGTGGAGAAAATAAATTCATATAAATCATTCAAATATCCCAAAAAATGTTTTTATTGTCACGAATGTAAAACTAAGAAATAAAAATCATACTATATAGTTCATCTAGTCCTAACACATAATTAATCTCGCCTAGTGTAGTGGGAAGAAGAAAGTTAGAAAAATAAATAAAGAAAGACATTACCAATTCGATTCTTGAATTGGATTTTCGTGCTCTTGAAGTTGATCTTCGCATTCTTGCCTCTTTTTTGCTCTCAAAAGTCTTCTCCAATCTCCTCCCTTACTTTTGGACGACCCTAGGGTTTTAAAATACCCCCCAAAATTCGTTTCTATAAAAGTTGTAGTCGAATTAGGAAACCAGAATTTTTTTCTCGAAATGGCATCGGCGGCCGCCCGGCTATTTATTTTTGTTCTCTTAATGATCTTGAAGGTTGGGCGGCCGTCAAAGCAAAATAAATGGGCGGTTGTCCAGGCTAAATTTTCGCAACTTTTCTTTTTCGCCTTTTTCTTCATTATTTCTTCCATCTTGTCCTCCTCATCAAATTACTTCAATTGTAGAGCTTCAACTTTTACCAAAATGCATGTTAGTCCCCAAAATTTCATCAATTGGCCAATTTATCCTTCTTTCTTTTTCCAATTGTTTCGAAATAGATCCAAAACTGAAATAAGATAAAAATAACCGAAGTTAAGTCAAATGCAATAATAAAACGATACAAAAACTTAGTAAAATGGCCTCGAATAAGTGTACAAAAATGCACTTATCAAACACCCCGAAACTAAAACCTTTGTTCGTCCTCGAACAAAATTAAAACTTAATTCCACATAAAACATAGTTTAACGACCTACTGTGTCTCAAAATTGGAGTTTAGTAATAAACAAACTGAACAATTTAAACAATGCACATATCAAATCAATCTTCACATGTTTATATGCATAACTCGACATGTGTGTAAACTTATGTAGACATATCAAGCTCATGATTGGCTCAGCACTTTACCTATAGTAGTCAAATATTTCCTTCGTTCGAGAGATGCACACACCCCGAAACTTATTATTTTCACTCAATTATCCTGGGGTGTGTTCTGAGGTTGAACTCATTTATATCTATTCATTTCCCTCTCTTAGTTCGGATGAATCATACTATCACAAGCTTATACTTTAACAAGCAGATGTTCTCCTATTTTTAATTTTTTCAACACTTGAGATTAAACTAAGCTATTTGCCTCGTATTAGAGATATAGTCTTATCAACTGAATGTTTGGGGATAATCAATGCATTTCATATATAAGAGTATATATGTTATTCATAAATAGATAAATACCCTTTATATATATAATATCTCTCATTTGCTTTTTATATAATCTTTGTAGCGAGTTTTAGACCGATGACTTCCAAGTCAGATGACCATAGGGTACCAGGTTTTAAACCCTTGCAGACTTAATCACTCGAGTTATATAGGCTCAAACGGATATCTTTATTTATTCAATGATTAGTGCAATACCCCAGTTTCTAAAACTAAATTCTAACTTGAAACTTTCACTTCGTTTTCATCTCATTAGTTTTAGATAATTCACACATAATATCATGCACGGAACCCCTACTCTTCTCAGTACTCCCTTGAAACAGTTCAATCACATTTAAACTATTCTAAAAATTGGTCATGGTTTAACACAAAAGATGTTTTCTGGGTATATTCTCTATGTTCAACTATTTCGAAGTAATGAATCAAATCA